AGGGGGTCCAGCCTCGACCCCGAGGTCAGCTGGAAGGAGGAGGCACCGCTGTCCCCCCGGCCCAGGTTCTGTGATACACTCCGACTCGGGCTCTGGAGCAGTCAGTGCATGACAGAACTTGGGCCCGGGCGGACCTTCCGCACACTGTGCAGAGCGCCCACCAGGGGCTGCAGGGGACACTCGCCTGGGAGGGGAGCAGGCCCGGAGTGGGCCCCTGAGGGACAGGACTGGGCCAGAACCGGCTCTGGGCCTTGTAGGCGCGGGTCACTGGAGCCTGAGCATGGACCCCTGGGGCCCTTAAACCAAGGACAGGGCACCTGCCTTGAGTCAGGGGCCGACGGAGCTCCCCTCACCCCGACCCCCGTGTCAGTTGCAGGAACCTTCCCTCTACACCATCAAGGCTGTTTTCATCCTAGATAGTGACGGACGCCGCCTGCTGGCCAAGGTAACCTCCCACCCTCACCCAGGGCCCCTGAAGACTGAACTTCTGTCCCCAAAACCAAAGTCCCCCCGCAGCTGCCTCAGGAGAGACCCACTGTGGGTTCTGTGACTCAGAGCAGCTTAGACCCTGCAAAGGTCACTCTGCCATCCTCCTGCCCCGTCAGACTGCTGACCCCCGCTTCTAATCATGTCCCCCGAAATGTCTTCTGGTCATCCTTTCCACTCGCCAGCTGGACCCTGGGCGCGGAAGGGACCTCCTCAGGGGTCAGGGGAGTGTTGAGCCTGGGACCCAGGAGTCCGAGTCCCCAAATTCTAAACACGCAACCTCCGCTTTTCTTCTACAGCTTAGTAAACACTGAGGATTGGGGCTGAGGAGTCCAAGAATTTAGAACCAGGCAGGATTAGAGAGCACAAAATCCAGCTCTTTCACAAAGGAAGAAAATGCGGCCTGGTCTAGAGAAGCTAAATGAGTTGCCTGCAGTCACAAGGGTTAATATCAGAGCAGTGATCTGAATGCAAGTATTCTGGCTTGGAGCTCAGAAGGGTGGCTTTCCCTGCACAAACTAACCAGTTATCCGGTATCTATCCCAGTAAACATGGCCTAGGATAATCTACATAATAAAAGCCTGAGCCACCCTTATGGCGGAAAACCAGAAGGACCAGAACAACCGGTCGCTATGATGCACACTGACCACCAAGGGGCAGACACTCAATGCAGGAGCTGCCTCCTGGTGGTCAGGGCACTCCCACAGGGGGAGACCTGTTCAGCCAGAAGCCGGGCTCATGGCTGGTGAGCACAGTGGCAGTGGCGGGAGCCTCTCCTGCCTCTGCAGCAGCGGCAGCGGTAAGGAGCAGGGAGCAGGCAGGCCGTAAAGAACGAGGGGTCCTGGACTGCAAGAGGGCACAGGCCGGGCTGAGGGACACCCCGCCTTCCAGTGCACAAATTTCGTGCACCGGGCCTCTAGTCCAAAAATAAATGTCTACCTCAACACAACTAACTATAGTAGGGATATAGTATCTAAACTAGCTATGAAATAATTTATAGATTTGCTTGTTTGCCTTTATGCCTTCAGTGTCCAGCAGGGAGACTACTAATTTGCCTGCCGTTGGGGTACTAAGGGGCATAATCCACATTCAGAAAATTGAGAGCTGAACTCACCAGACCTTGCCCCAGCAGATGGTCAGAGGTGGTTCAGCAATGTCAAAGGTTTTAGGACCTCATCCCAGCAGGACACATTCATGTTCAGGTTAAGAAACTGAGTCTGAGAGAGAGGCTCACCAAACCCAGACACAACAGCACTGACTTACGTACCCGTTGTGCAATGTGCACTGGGGATTTTTCCTCAGGTATTTTGTCTTCATAACTCCGCCTGAAGTCAAACCATCCTTGGTGTTGAATCCCAGTTCTGCCCTTACAACTGTGAGAAGTTACCTGACTTCTTCGCCTCAGTTTCCCCATCAGTGCAATGGGGATAATAAAGTAGTTATGATTATTATTGTGGAGAAGAAGGACCCCGGGCTCTACCCTCTTTCCTGTAGACTCGGGTCTGTGTAGAAACGGCATGACCTGATGATCACCCCAATCCTCAGCACACCGCACATCTGCTCAATATACAAAAGCCTCCAAGAATCAGGAGAGGACTCCAAAAAAAAAAAAAAAGGCCTCAAAACTTCTCTACTTTTTATTATTCTTTTCTTAGAATTTGTGTCTATAGGGAAACAGTGAGCAGTCAGGCCTAGGGGGCAATAAATAAGAGATGGGGCACTTGGCCAGCACCCACCATTCCCTGCCACCCATCCATGGAGGAGCCAGGCTCTGTGGAATGGCTATGGCCCCTTCTCCTCCCCTTTCTCATAGTATTATGATGACACATTCCCCTCTATGAAGGAGCAGATGGCCTTCGAGAAAAATGTCTTCAATAAGACCAACCGGACTGACAGTAAGTACCCTCCTCTTCCTCATCCAGCACTCTCAGATACGCCCTGTCCTCTCCATCTGGACACATCTGTCCCCGTCGGGCCTGCACACCCACAGGCCATTTCCTTTTCTTCAGAGGTTCTGTTTTCCTCTCCTTCCCAGCTGTTCATCTCTACGTCTGAGGAACCCTCACACACACACACACACACACACACACACCCCATCGCTCTCAAACCTCCCACCGCCTGCACACCTAGACCTCGCTCTCAGGGGAAGAGGCCAACTGAGTTGTGGGCCTCCTACCAGCCTGGGACTGGTCCAGAGCATTTCACATGGTGGGAGCAGGGGTGCAAGGTCGACCTTGAACTTGGTTTGTTGACTCCTCAGAATGAGGCAATCACTAGAAATAGGGGGTGGAGGGAAGGACACAGAGTAGCCTAATGGTAGTGTCCCTAGTGCTAGTCTTTCCAAGGGTTCCTTCGAAAGGGAGGACTGAAATAGAGAAGAGCAGAGCGGGAGGTGGGGAGGAGGGGCCAGGCAGCGGTGGCCAGGGCGGAAAGTCTCCTCTCCTTCTAGGTGAGATTGCGTTTTTCGGGGGCATGACCATCGTCTACAAGAACAGCATCGACCTCTTCCTGTACGTGGTGGGCTCATCCCAGGAGAATGAGGTGAATTCAGGAGGTTGGGGTGACAAGGAGGGGCTGTCTGTGGGGGAATGGCTTGGAGTCTCGGGTAGAAGCTGGGTACCCCTCCTTCTAAACTCTGGGGGTTGGTGAGAGGCCAGAATGGTTCTTTCTGGGCCGAGGTATACCCATTATGCCCCTTAGATTCCTCAGGGACCAGAAGTGAAGTTCTCTGCAGGAGCTTTTGTTTCTGGTTTTGAGCACCATAGAGAAGGGTACTCAGCGCCCCACTCTAGTGCTTCCCAACCCTGCTCCAAGGTCAAGCTGCAGGCAGGCTCAGCCCTGCCGATCTGGAAAGGGGCAGTTTCCCACGCAGGTAGACGCTGAGTCTTAGTTCGGCCTTCCCAATCTCAAGCTCTCTCGTTTCCCTCCTCCCGTATATCTGCCCAACCTCAGCTGATGCTCATGTCTGTTCTCACCTGCCTGTTTGAGTCCCTGAACCACGTGTTAAGGTGAGTGAGACCCTCGGCCCTTCAAGGCCCCACCCCCCAGGCCTTGATACGTCACAAAGACAGGGCCCTTCCTCCGTGCTTTTGTCCTGACGTCCCTACCAGACTAAGACTGGAGCTGGAGCGTCCCCCTCCAAGACCTCTGCCCTTCACCTAGCCACATGGTATCACCCGGGGCAGGGCAATATGAAGGTATGGCCAGAAAATGAGGTCTAGAAAAGCGAAATGATTTGCCTGAGGTTACAGATGGTTTATATCACAGCAGAGACTCAAACTCAGGTTTTCTGACTTGAGGCTCAAGGTGGTTTTCCCCGGACCTCAATTCAGTTATCCAGTATCTAGTCCAGTGGGCATGACCTTAGGAAACCAAAGTAGGAAAATCCAAAAACACATGCATTCCCTAGTCAACACAGGTAAGTATAGTAGAGCTATGGCATCTAAACTAGTTATGAAATGCATCAGGGGTGCCATGGCGGGCACAGCATCAATGCCCCACGTGTAGGAGGTTGGGCCAGGAGGGTTTAAGGCAGCAGGCTTGTCCTCTGCTGGGGAATCCCTTGCACAGGCGATGCCCTCACTGCCCTTGACATTGTCCTTGCCAGTGCTTGTTGGGCGTGTGGAGGGGTGTGGATGGAGAGGGGGGTCTGTCGCACCTCGGCAGGGACCTGGTTCCTCCTGGCCCCAGGGAGGCTCAGGAGCTGTATCTCCTTCAGGAAGAACGTGGAGAAGCGCTGGCTGATGGATAACATGGATGGAGCCTTCTTGGTGCTGGACGAGATTGTGGATGGCGGGTGAGGAGGGCGTGGCCAGGGACACTCATGGAGGGGGGTTGGAGATCATCCGCTCTACATTGTACCCAGCGCACTGTTGGCTCCTCTGGCCACCTTCCCCCTCCTTTCCCCAGCATATCCCGGTGATCTCATCCCCCCACCCCACTCAGGAGGACAGGAGTTGAGGTCAGTGTTAGTCTAAGTCAAGCAAACAAGAAAGGAATTTGATGCCCAACTGCGGCTGGCTGTTGGATAGGCAGGGTTTGGGTGAAACGGTTTGCTCTCCAGAGCCCGGGAGAAGCAGGCAGCAGACACTGGCCCCTCCCTAGAAGGACTTCATTCCAGCGGAGCCCTGTTGCCTCCACACCCCCCACTCTCAGAGCTCCAGTCCAACCTTGCCTAGATGTGTGGCCTGGGCCAGTTACTGATTCTCCCTGAGCCTCACTTTCCCTGTCTTTCAAATGGGGATGATAAAGGAACGACCTCATAGGGTATGGAGATTAAATAGGGTGATGCCGGTCAAGTTCACGGTTCTCCTTCAATAAATGTCACCTGCGGTTGGTATGCTATTCTTAGGAGGCTGGGTGTCCTTATGAGAAGGGTGGGTTAGTGAATTTCCATAGAGGAAAATAACTGGGGAGAAAATGAAATTCTCGCTCAGGGGCAAAGGATACTAGAAACTGATTATCTTAAAGACATCCACACACTCTATCATTACATCCATTTTTGAGATGAGGGAACAGAAGCTCAGAGATTCAAGTGACTTGCTCAAGGTCACACGGCAGGGCCAAGATCTAAAACCATGGGCATGGTTCAAGATTGGGCTCTTTCCATGGCACTGTACCACACACCCTCGGGGGCAGGGAGCTCTGGGAGATGGGGGACTATGGAATTCCTCTCCCCTCCCCATTGACTTCCTGTTACTGCAAGGCTTTGTGCTAATGGCTGAGACCCAAGAGAGATGGAATAAGACCGGGTTTTGTGGAACCAGAAGTATACACAATTTGGGGGAACCCTTTAAGGAAAGCATGCACACACAATTATAAAATGGGGGCGGGGCTTAGGACAGACGCTGGAGTTCCCATTTCTTTTGCATATGGCACAGAATACTAGTGAAATGAGATAGAGACCCCAAGGCACCTCCCTTCCTTCTCTGAACTTTCCTGAATCCAACCCTGACCCAGAAGGAGAAGTGAACTTTCAAGAGCTCCGAGTGTCCCAGCCCCTGCTTTTGACACCCAATTTTCCTGGCCTGGACTCACTCTATTGCACAGCTTTTGTCCAGTGATGACCAAGTGTCTGACCAGCAGGTTTGAAGTATAGAAGAACCAGAGTTGAGGGGTCTCCATGGTTAGGGAGAGTTCTGACTTGAGAAATACCAGGGGGAAGGTGCCCTGGAGGGGAATTTTGCAGGATATGGTGGTTGAGGGACGAGGCTTAGCAGTGAGAGGCTGCAGAGGGGAGAATCATATCACCGATTTCCCGCCTGGTTTCTTTCTCATCATGTAGCGTGATTCTGGAGAGCGACCCCCAGCAAGTAATCCAGAAAGTGAATTTTAGGGTAAGAGTCCCCTGTAACCCTCATCTCCTCTAGGCTGTCCTTCCCATCCTCCCCGGCTCCTGTCTTCCCTGTGCTGGGGCTGCCAGGGCCTGGGGAGGCGCCGGGGGTTGGGGGTGGAGTGTAGGGTGGGGCCCAAGCTCCTCTAGGAGAAGCAATTACTGGGATGATGCACTTGGGGGAGAAGCAGTTTGGGGGGTGTCAGTTAGTAAAAGAGATCTGCTGTCCTCTCCCCCTGTAGAATCACCAAGTCGCTCCCCCTCCTCCCTGGCGGGAAATACAGATTGGGGAAATAAACTCTCAAAGAGACACCGGTGGCTGCCTTGGCCTTGAAGTTGGGGAGTGGCAGTCTAGATAGAATGGCCCTGCCTAGTGCGGCTTTCCTGTCTGCAGTAAACCTTCCCCCCATCTTTATTCCCTTCATTCCCTTACTCTCCATGCACCATAGGCAGGGCCTCGGGGGTCCTGGCTTCCAAGTGCAAGGTGCAGGGCTTCCACTCACGGGCGATCCAGGTGCAGTGCCGGATCCCATAACACTGCACCCCTCACCACCACCCCTTCACCTCCCTTTCTAAGCCCATTACTCCTGCCCTAGCCTGACCACCCTCTGCCACTGCTTCCCCACAGGCAGATGACAGCGGCTTGACTGAGCAGAGTGTGGCCCAGGTAGGCCCCCAACATCTGCCTTGGGCTAGAGGGCAGAGAGCAGCGCCTCCGAGGGGGACCCAGCGGGGGCGGTGAAGGCTGAGAAGTCAGGGTGCGGGAGGGATTAGACAGTGACAGGCCGTCTGTTGGCGAGTCACAGGAGGCTGCTAGAGTCTCTGAGGTGGTACCAAACTGGGCATTGATCATTGACGCACACCCTACGGGCAGCTACCTCATCTCCTGGCTTGGTATCCTTAGATTGAAACCCTGCTGTAAGTGCCCGCCCTGGAGATGGCTGGGTCACTTTTCCCCAAAGCAGTCCCGGGGCACAGGCCCTGATGCTCCCCCTGACCCAGAAAGGACAACAAATAGGAGTTTTCCTCCAAACCCTCACCCCTCAGTGTTAAGGTCCAAACTGTAATTGTTTAGGGACCCTTGAGCCCGTGGTAAGATTTCACTTGCTCTACTCCTCACTTGCCACCTAGCCCCTGGCTGTGGAAAACTCCATCCCCGGCAGTCCCCTGCATGGTCCTAACTGGGGGTGCATGTGGGGCCAGGGGGAGGTCCCTGGATCTGTGGCCTGCTGGTTTCCCAGCTGTGCAAACTTCCTGCTTATCAGGCTGACTGCTTGACCTCCGTCTGTCTGCCCGCAGGTCTCTCTGCACAGACTAATCCTGGTTTTATGGAGCTTCCTGCCCCGGCACTAACTCCCTCCTGCTGTGGTGGCCCAGGCCTAGACGGGTGTGTAGCATCCGTGTGGAGCCCTAGGTGTGCTGCCCACTTGCCTGCACTGCCCTGGTGCTCACCCTGCCTCTCCCTCCTCGTGGCTCCCAGGCCTCCCTCTACTCTGCCGGGAGGAGTACAGACAGCCCTGCGGCAGTTTCAGGTCCAAAGAGGTTAGGGCGCATGAGCAGAGCAGACACGGGCGTGTATGTTCCACTTTGCCACCTAGAATCTGGGTTACCAAGGGCAAGTTTCTCAACCTCTCTGTGCCTCACGTAATCATGGGACACTCCTCATAGAGTTATTATGAAAACTAGGTGAGCCAGTGCATGGCAAACTCTTTGCACAGCTCCTACTTTTCCAAAGGGAGAAAGAAGGAAGACACGGCCCTTTTAATGGAATTCTTGAGTAAACACCAAGAAAGTCTCAGGGAGTGAGTGGAGGATGAAATGAAGAGAAAGTTGGATTCTGGCAAGAGAAGCAGAAGTACCCCCCCCCCCC